GTCGGTGATGTTTCCTGGCTGATGTTCAGTTTAGAGGCATCACTGCATTCCCCTAAATAAGCTCGTTGTATTCTGTATGCTTCCCGGAAAGCTGAGAATGTTTCGGAGTGTACTATGGTCTGCTGGGGTAATAATATAGTGTAAAGCGCATAGAGCCTGCTGTTGAGCGGGGATATGCGCTATACAAATGCTATCTATTATTATTATTATTCTCATTACCTCAAACAGACAACCCGTAACATTTAAATGAATAGTGCTGATGATACAGTTGAATCACTTGGGAAATAAACTGAATGAATGCATGCACTTACATTCTATGTAGTTGTGTCTGTATGTATACCAGTTTAACCAAACATCACCGCGAGTATCAGTGGCGAAGTGAGTAGTGAGTTCAGACTCAAAAGTAATGTCAAAAAAGTGGGTAGTCACTGGTGCGTGTCCTTGAGCAAGATACGACAACCCATGCTCAAAAATCAGGCAGCTGCCAAGTGGCTACCAGCAGTGGCATGCTTGTGAAATTGTTCTATATTGGTTGTTATATTGTGTATATTATGTGTATGTATTTGTATATGTATTTGTGCATGTATTTAGTATGCATGTTTTCCATTGCAATCCAAAATATTCCCCCCCTGGGATCAATAAAATGAATGTAATTTTGGGAATTTATAAAGCGGAAAGTTATTTTACTTACCTTTTTTTCCATTTGCTGGAATACATTTACTGTTTTTCTCTCGGTTCAGGTTGGATGCTACGAGGTTATTTACAACTGGATTCGGGACCATTCTATCCATTACCACGCCGTTGTGATTCTGCATATAGTGGATCTGTTTCTGTACACCTTGATCTACTGGAGGCACCTGCATGTTCTACAGCAAAAGCTTGTTACCTTATTGCACATGGAGAGAAAGGTTCGTTTCGTGTTAGTGAGAGTTTTTGGGGCATTTGCGACAGAATTAAGTCCTATAAAGTGCCGGTGCAAAGATTTGAAGAGTTAAAGAGAGTACCAAAAACACAAAAAGGAGGAGAGAACAGGACGATAGTTTTTCTTTGTTTTTGTAGTTTTTCTTTGTTTTTGAAATAGACTCCGGAAAGAGGTGCGAACCCGCCGCAAAGAATGGCTAGAGGCGTGCCACGTGGCGCAGGAGACGATCAACGATGTTAAGACCGACGCCTGGCGAAAACTGCTCGAGAAAACCACCAACTCACAGGACGACACCAAGATGTGGAAAATCATAAAAAGCCTCAACGGTACCCCTGAGACAAACTCGCCAAATGAAGCAATGTCACACAATGGGCGATTGGTGACATCAAGCAAGCATAAGGCGGACATATTTGCAGACCACTACGCGAACGTCTGCAGTCTAAACATGTCGAAAGAAGACAGAGCCGAAAACTGGCAACTCAAACAGCGACTGTTGTTGTTGTTTTTGGGTGTTTTTTTTGTCATTGACTTTTATTTATGACTTACACAACGCAGACTTAGGTCATTAAACTACTCAGAGATTTGAGTATTGAAGTGTAGATAGAAACCTTATAGTCGTGGGGAGGTGTGCATTCTTTGTTGTGTGGTCTCGATAAATGTTTGAAATGATGTGGTGGTTGTTGTGTTAGTTTTGTTGTACTGTGATGTGTGCATGCATCTTAATGGTTCAAAGTCAGACTGTTATCATAGTTTGTAAAATTGGCTGTAAGTACAAGAAATAGATTATACCTTGCCAAGGTGAGGTGGCCACGCAGATGTTGTTGATTGTTGTGGTAGGGCTGACCTTTTCAAATTATGGAAGGAAAAGAATTGCTGAGCTAATCGAAAACATTTCATTCCAAGGAAGGGCCATAGTTGGAAAATTTGTGAGGAACAGCCATATCTCTCTGAATCACTCTCTTAAAGGGAAGTGTGAACAATGTGTTTTATACATGTACCAAATTGCTTCCTTTGATGTCATCTGATAGAAGAAGAAGATTATACAAAAGAAGTTGTTAGGGGACTCTACAGTACCCTAGCGCTGCTTTGTGCACTGGCGGGACTGCAAAGAAACAACCTTTGAACTTTGGATCGAGGCCAACAAGCCATTGCCCCTGCAGGTGGGGGCCCCCATAGTTTTACTATGGGGGAGTAAAGAATACACCTGCCGTGATACTGCGTGTTGTAAGAGGCGACTAAAGGTGCATAGATCTGGCCACCTGAAAAGTGACAGTTTGCGGAGGGCCAACTACCCGACCCAGTAAAAAAAGAAAGTTATAGAAACACGAACAAACATGCCTTATAATTTTTCCATCTTGGGAGACGGAGAAGCTTCTGCATCAGCAGGAACAATGAAGGACAGCGGACAAAGCCGAAAGGACTCTTCTGACCCGAAACCTTCTCTGTCGAACAAGTCTCTCCGGATTGCGTCATGGAATGTTCACACCATGTATGAAGCAGGAAAGAGTTCTCAAGGGACACAAGAGATGAAAAGATACAGGCTGCACATACTAGGAGTCAGCGAAACCCACTGGATACAGTCTGGACAGAAGCAGCTCAGCCCGGGGAACAAATATTATATTCTGGGGGGAGGGGGGAGGAGGGGGGAAGACAAGCACCATGTGGAGGGAGTTGGAATTATTTTTGAGTAAGTATGCACAGAAGTCACTTAGAGGATGGGAACCACACGGGGAGAGGATC